CCTCCCCTTGACTCTGGGGTGGCTGGGGAGACCTCAGATCGAACATCCCTCCCCTGCCTCTGCCCCACATTCTGAAGACACTGCACAGAGCTGGGCTCCACTGACACAGCCCAGCTCTGCTCCGCACACTGTACTCAGACTGGGAAGGCAGGAAGAAAGGGGAGTGAGTTTGGTCTGTGGGTTCCCTAGCCAGCACTGGAGGGTGGGCTGGGTGGATTGAGGACCCCTAGGTGGGGGGCTCCAATCTACACCCCTCCCCCACTTCAGCTTGGGTGTGGAAACCCAAGACTGAACTTCCTCCCCTGTCTTCCTCCCTTCCCATCCTGAGACAGCACAGGAGATTGGAGAGCAGGGTGGGTCTAGGGGACAGATGCTGCAGACTTGCAGCTTCTTTTCCACACATCAGCTCCAAAAGAGAGCTGGATCACATACCCTCCTGATCCAACAGTGAACATCTGTTGGATTGGGAGGTTTGGTCTAATTCATGATGCTTTCTGTGAAGCATCATGAGTTAGACTAGGGAGCTGCATCTCTGTCAGCACCCTTTGATAAGCTTTCAAATGCAAGGCATTCTTTACCAGGTCTGACCAGTACAAGCCAAGCACAGCATAGTAAAAACCAACTCTCCATAACAAAACCATCAGAATCCATGTTTCTACTTATGCTTTTCATGCCCATTGAAAGATTACCTTCAATAAAGCACCCATGTCTCCCACAAGTGGAAGTGCAATCTGAAAAAGAAACATGCACATATGCTTGTAACATATTGAATATGCTTTACGTAGCAAGTATCTTTAATATTTGGTCAATGGTGTTCATAGTACTGACACAGTTTATACTGTTACTAAACTGAGCCACAATTAAGGTGGTCTACCATTACATCTTTCAGGAAAAATAAAGAAACAATCATAACAATAAAAGCAAGAGTCAAAGGCTCATGCTACATGCCAAAAAAGAAAAATTATGTGGTCAATGTTAGAGAGGTTCTTGATATATCTAGCAGCACTCTCATGAGACTGAAAACCAGAGAACAGAACTATGCATGTGTCAAAAAGTAGCTGCATTATATTTTTTGGTATGGGGTCCACAGAGAGCAACCCCTATCTTCTCTTCCTAAAAATAAACTATACATCTAGGATCTCCAGTTCTTCCTGTTTATTCCCAATACCTGTATTTGTATGTAGACATCTCAAAGGCTAAGGAACTGCCAATACCAAGAGAAGTGCTCAACAGTTAAGAGGCTGACTTCACACCATAGTAAGACAGGGCCAGGGATTTGGAAGAAAGATATCACAAGTTCCCAAGTACTAGAACAGTGGTTCTCAACCTTCTTGGATGAAAGGCACCCTTCACTGGACTCAAGATACCTCTCCAGGAGTGGATCTAGAGGTGCTGCGATTGCACTCCCCTTTTATTCCCACTCTGCCCAAATTTAAACCAACCACCTGCACGGGGCATCTCTATACTTATAGCACCATCACTGTGATCACTTATAGCATCATCCTTACATTGCATTTCCAAATGCTAACAAGGTTTTTGGATGCCAATTGTTCTCTGCACTCATAGCATCATCACTGTGTCTCATTGATTATCCAAAACTAATCCTTTTTCAAACTACAGCTAAGCTGTAAATCATGAAGCCACATGACATTAAAACAATAAGGCCACAAGTGAATTTAACCATTTTTAAAGTCTATTTTTAATAGTGTGGATAGGTCTTCTGTTAGTAACTAAATATTTTTACTTTGCTGAAGAACAAGGCTCAACAGCTGTTCTGGGAATTTTGAGTGTTTCATCTGCCTTTTTAAAGTCTTTCTTTGTCAGTATTTGTTTTAAACTAAGATCAACATAGCTGTGGGGACTTCAATGATTTGAAGTGAAGAGAGGAATAATAATAAGGAACACATTTTGCCCTCAGGTAGGCACTTGAGACTCATAGTTTCCTTGTAAACCCTCATGTTTACATGTTCATTGGGGCTAGAATTTGTTCTGAAGTATATGTGGCACTTTATGGGTCCTTCAGTGCCAAACTTTATAGGACTGTGAAGCTCCCACACATGTAATGTTAGTATACTGCATAAAATAAAATAAACCCTAAAATGAACAGTCTCTACATCTTAAAGTACTCATCCTAGCAACGTAACTCTTTTATTAGTACTGAAGGATGTTAGTTTAAATTATATGCTAATTATTCTTAGGATATTATTAAAAATAATATTTATCTTATGAGTCAGGGCAAAACCAATTCCAGAATCCAACAACTTTAGATCTTGTGACTCAAGACAAAAATAGTGTTCTTGAAACACAGTTAAGCATGAAATATATATCATACTTAAAACCATAAGTTACAACCTGTGGTCAAGCATTAGAGGCAAATCATAACCTCCTGAAAACAGGTATTTATTACAAGAGATTGATATAATCTTAATTTTCAACATATACAATGATGAAAATAAAACTAAGTCTTTTCAGCCACTCATTGAAGATTCTAGCTGATCTGTTGTGTAAAACTTAGCAGCTCCATAAAACATCTGGCGTCTCTCTGTTTTAAAATAGAGACAGCTTAATAATAGGGGTCAAACTTAAATTGTTTACGTACTGGATCACCTGGAGGGCCTGGCAGTCCTGGCTTCCCATCTCGTCCTGGAGTACCCTAAAAACAAAGTCAGTGAATCTTAATTTTCATGCATTAAAAAGGACAGCATATATTAATACTGTATTATGTACAGGACTATTACTTACATCAGTACCTGGGGTACCTGGAGTTCCTGGTAACCCAGGTGGTCCTCTAGGGCCCTACGATACAGAATAGTTACTTAAGATTCAAGAGACTGATCAATAATAAATAATGTTAAATTTAATTCATTTTCCTTATTTTATAATAAATGTTCTACCTGGAAGCCTGCTTCTCCCGCTGGACCCTTAGGACCCTATAAGAAAATCCCAAACATTTAGTGAGATTACAGCAGTAAAGCTTTAAAAACACGAGTGTTCATGAGCCAAAAATACTGACTGGGATTTAGGTTAAGTCCATGGTAGAGAAAAAGTCTTGTGGTAAGGTTGGTTCATAGACGGCAGGGTAGATTTCCACATTATAGACTAACTAAATTAGAGATGTATGTAGAGCTCACTTCATCAGATGCTGTGACAAGACGTGAACAGAGCAGTGTATAGAATGGAGAGGGTAATTTGAATAGTGCTCTGTTCATGTATTTTTACAGCATCTGATGAAGTGAGCTCCATGTATATCTCTAACTTAGTCTATAATGTTCAAATCTGCCCTGCCTTCTATGTGATTCAAAACTCAACATCTCTTTCCCATACCACTGATATGAAAAAGTGTACTGTCCCTCTGCTGTAGGCCTCAGCGTGCATTAATAAATGCAGGGGTTAGGGAGTTGCAAGAGCCTATGCTCCTTTCCTACACACACTAACCGCAAAGAAAGGAAAGAAAGGGGATGAAAGGGGGGGCGGGGAGAGTGGTGGGAGATAGTGGTGGGAGAGGCAAACAAGCAAGTAATAAATCCATCAGAACAAAGAGGTTACAAAAGCTAATCCAGGTAATGAGATATGAATCCATAAGAATCCTGTTTAAACCATATTTAACACAGCCCAGTCTGTGGTTGAATCATATAGCAAGGAACTCATATCAGGAATTGGGTTACAAGGTCTTTATATCAGTTTCACAGTAATTATCAGTACGACATTTGCACAGCTGGCTACTATACTTACTGGGGGTCCTTCAGTTCCTACTCCAGGTGGCCCCACCTCTCCAGGGGTTCCTTGCACACCAGGTAGTCCTCTTTCACCCTGATAAGAACATAAAGCCTTTTTTTATAACAACCACAAAAGCAATTACAATTATGTGTAATTGTTAAAAACAAGAATGTAATCATATTTGTATACCTTAGGCCCACGTGGACCTGGATTTCCAGGAGTGCCAGCTGGACCCTAAAAAGTAATGGTTTTATCTTAAATATTAAAAAGTCTGACTGAATTTTATTGTCCAATATAAAAAGCTTTTGTAAATGAAGTATTTTTTTCTAACCATGCCTTGATAATTAATGACAGGATGCAGAAGCATAAAAATGTAGCTTGCATTAACAAACAGAATATCCAAACTACATTCTCTATGCACTTGCTCTGCTCCTGTAAAATCTTTTCATTAAGGATATTTGAAAAATATTTGTTTTGTTCTATACATTATTTCAGTAATTACATCAGCCCCACAAAAAATAAGTCAGGACAGTCCACCGGGAATGCAGGGTGAATTACTTACTGGATTCCCACGCAGGCTCAGTCCGGGGGGTCCTGTGTCGCCTTTTGGACCTGGATGTCCAGGGGGTCCTATAATGCCACCAGAATCTCCCTATAGAATAGATTTAAATCACTAATTGAAATGCTCCTCTCATGAAAAAAGAAATCCACGTACTTTAAATTATCAGGCTGATTTTCAGTGGTAGATCTTTGTTGCCTGTTATCTGTGGCATAGAGGAAAAAGAACTTTATATGGCTCTATGTTTCAAAACATATCACTGTAATTATTTGAGTTTGAGTACCAAATACCTGACTACATTTGTATAACAGAGAATCAGTGTTTTACATTTTTGAACGTATTTGAAGATGGCTATTAAATCTATCCATAGTCTTGTCTTCTCCAGATTAAATAACCCTGGGTCCTTCAGCTTTTCTTTATCATTCTTGCTTCCTCGGCACCTAATCATTTTTGCTGCTCTGTGCTGGACTCTCTATAATCTGTCTACATCCTTCTTCTAGTGTAAGGCCCAAAACTAGACACACTACTCCAAGTGAGCACTCACCAGCGCTCAGTAAAGTGGAAGGATCACTTCTGTTGATTTCCAAGTAACACTCCTGTTAATACAACTCGGTATGCGGTTGACTTTATTTTGCAACAAAAGCACACCGTTGCCTCATACTGGCTGCCTATGCATGTGCTTGGGGGATGGAGGGGAGGGCATTTTAATTAGTTCAGTTCCCAGACAGCTACTCTAATTAAAAATGCTCAGTCACATATATTAAGCTCCTGCACATTTTGATATGGCCATGGGACACTTTATCTAAAGCTCATTCGATGAAGTTTAGATAAGGTGCCCCTGTGGCCATTTCGAAATGTGTAGGCCTTAATACACATGACAGTGAGGCGATGCTGAAGCATTCTAATTAGAATGTGAACAAGCATGTCTACAGGCATCCAATTCATCTTACGGTCCACTGTAACCCCCTAGGTCCCTCTCTGCAGTACTGCAGTCTAACCAATCATTGGCTAGTCTGTATTTGTGCATGCAGTTATTTCATCTCATGTGCAAGACTCAGCAAGTGTTCTTCTTGAATTTAATCCAATTCTGGACTGTTTCTTGAGTTTATCAAAGTAATTCTGAATTTTAGGCTAGATAACAGACATTTAAAAAGCCTGAGGTAGAATCAAAATTACATGGTTTTCTGTAAGTGGTGTAGTTTAGATTAGTAGTGAACAGAATTCACATTTGCCCTTTGGGGGGGAAGGTGGGGAATCTTAGACTGGGCTCTGTCATTTTTAAACCAGTCTGTGTGCACCAAATTTCTGTTCTATTATGGATAGAGACCAGGTTTGTGTCCAAAGCCTATGTTCTATTATGGCTATAGACCAGTTTCTGATCACGTGTAATGTCTGTACCTGGCCTTAGTGTCTGCAACGCCACCTAAGTTGGTGTCATTTATAAATCTTGGATCTCCACTTGATGCCTCCTCCCAACTAAACAATGAGCCATTGATGTCTTCTCTTTGAACAGGATGATCCAACTAGTTATTTATTCATCTACCAGTACTTTCATCTAGTCTGTAATTCATAGTTTCATAGTTTCTAGGGTCGGAAGGGACCTGTGTATATCATCTAGTCCGACCCCCTGCCATGTCAGGAATTAGTACTGGGGTCAAACGACCCCAGCAAGGTGTTCATCTAACCTCCTCTTAAACACCCCCAGGGTAGGAGCCTGCACCACTTCTCTTGGAAGTTGGTTCCAGATCCTAGCCGCCCTGAC